TACAAGCAAATCATGTTTCCCATGATCACAGAAATTTCACTGTAGGAAGTTTTCTTACCCAGACCCCTGGCTGCAATATCAGTAGCAAAGAGCACTGCAGCTCTCTTACGGACAAATTCGTTATAGACTTCCATTCTTCTCATCTGCTGCTGTCGACCATGGAGGGCAAGGATAGAAATACCAGGACGTAGCCGGCAGAACACTCGGTATAGATATTGAACCTGGGCATTAACAGAAGAATGAGTTGGTACTTCCAGATGGCAGCAATCTTACAAAATAAACAGCAAAAATGTACTAAGGAGCACACATTTCATCAATTAAAAAAATAATTTTTTAAATACTGAGCAGAGAAAGGGAAATGGAGTCTAGAGTTGTGATCTTCAAACATTTTTGATCGAATTTTTCCTAAAATAATTTTTTGGGGGAAAAAATGCTCTTCTTGCATTTAAGTTATCTGAAATTTTTCCAAAATTGAATAGTTGCAAAAAATGTAATTTCTGATAAATACTGATGTTTTAAAAATAAACACTTATCTCTTATAAATGTATCCAATGGATTCTAAATAGCAAAGCAATTTAATACCCATCCATCATGCAAAAAAGGTGAAGAAACTCCTTTAACAGAAAGAACTTTTATTTCCTTTCCTCCTTTAATTCTCATTTCTATTTCCTGGTCCCACAGAACCATATCTTAAGTTTTAAGCTTGAAAATCTTATTAATCATGTTATCATAATCCATAATTTTCCACAACAAAAAAGTTAAAATTGATATACATTATTTTAATTTTCTGGTCATATGTCTTTATTAACTTTCTTCTCAGACTGAGAAATTATCATAATTAGTAGTATAAAACTGACCAAAACAAGAAATATGTTAGGATTTGACCAATAACTATAAGACAAAATTTTATTGTAAATACATCTGAATGTATGGAACTAGAAGGAGCTTACTGTTTTAGTTTTATGTCTCTAGTTTATATACTCATAAATGGNACACTTATCTCTTATAAATGTATCCAATGGATTCTAAATAGCAAAGCAATTTAATACCCATTAATCATGCAAAAAATGTGAAGAAACTACTTTAACAGAAAGAACTTTTATTTCCTTTCCTCCTTTAACTCTCATTTCTATTTCCTGATCCCACAGAACCATATCTTAAGTTTTAAGCTTGAAAATCTTATTAATTGTGTTATCGTAATCCATAATTTTCCACAACAAAAAAGTTAAAATTGATATACATTATTTTAATTTTCTGGTCATATGGCTTTATTAACTTTCTTCTCAGACTGAGAAATTATCATAATTAGTAGTGTCAAACTGACCAAAACAAGAAATGTTAGGATTTGATAAATAACTATAAGACAAAATTTTATTGTGAATACATCTGAATGCACGGAACTAGAAGGAGCTCACTGTTTTACTTTTATGTCTCTAGTTTATATACTCATAAATGGAAACTGGATTGATAGACTGAGGCAGAGTTCAGCATTTTATTCCTATTTTCTCTAACACAGGAGTTAAGAAAATCTGTTCACATAAATACAGAAAAAGGACTAGAAGAAACCTTAACTCTGAACTCCTTCAAAATACGCCAAAAATCATAATGACAGATCAGCAAAAATTATTTGTAATCATCTATCAGTTAATAACTCCATTAA